GTTAGATGGTTATCAAAAAAGACTACGTCCTCTTTGTTACCGATATATTCACATATCGGATACATCTGACAAAGATGATGAAGATTATGAACCAAAGCATAGTTGAATGTTGAATCATCTCGTATTACTTGTATCTTTGTCTTTCTTCACATAATAAATATTTTCTTGATTCTATAATGCGGACATTTTCATTCTCTGCCTCGATTCTGCATTGCGGACAATTTTCAAAATGCGGTCATTTTTGTCTATACCCCCTGATTTTGCTTTCCGGACATTTTACCTTAATTGGTTAAAAAAAGTGTCCGCATTGTAGTTGTAGCCGATCAAAACACTCATTTTTTTGTGATCATTTCACAGATAAAAAATTTGGTGATCAAAACTCAACTTTTTGGTGATCAAAACACATTTTTCCCATAAAATAATGTTCTCTTCTTTTATATGTGATACGTTGAGAAGACATTTCTTATTCGCCAAATTTTACTAATTTAATATACATATGAATTTAAAATTAGTTTCTCTTTTATATAGAAATCTTTCGGAATAAGCAATTGTTGTTAAGATATTTAGTTAAATGACCTTTCAACGAATGTTGAAGCTAAGCAGCTGACGCACATATCCTGAACACAAAAGCATTTTGTTGTTTTTTCCTTGGGCCATAGAAATCTGTCTCGATCATTAACATAAATGTGAAAAATACTAATAGAAACAATTCAGATAGTCAACAGATGGAGAAATTCAATTAGCCATTTAATATGAATAATAAAAAGAAAAAATAGATAGATTTTGTCGTTTTATTTTTTCTTTGTTTCTGATTTGATAATAATAAATTTGTTTTCCAGTTGTTACCATATTTCTAATTACTTTATTACCATATTAATGTTATTTAAATGTGAAAATTAATCAAAATGATTTATCAGACTTTTTAAAAATCTATGCAGTACTTCATTCACCTTCAAGTACTGACATTTTTTGCCATATGAACATTCAACAACTTTTTACATTCAATTATATGTCTTGAATATTTCTGTTCAACAAATCTACCTGATTACTCTTCAATATGATTTCATATACTTAGTTCATCAATATCTAAATCAATGTTAGATAATATTCAACCTCACAGTTAATTCCTATATAATTCAGTTATTGATACATCAATTAGACCTGCAACAGTAAGTGAACTTGTTTTGACTATTCAGCACCTTTTGTATGAATGAAAATTAGTCATTTTTTTCAAAAAAACTAAAATTAATCAGCAGTTTATTTGAATAATTCAGAATCGATAGCATAAAGATCAAAAATCAATTTGTCAACATCATGTTTGAAATATTAAAACATACTGAAATATTTCTTGAACAAGTGCTTCTTCATTCGACAATAACTCATTCAAGTTGAAAGCTGGCCATACACTGTAGTACTGAAAAAGCATTGATTGACCACCAAATTCATGAGTTCATGAGCAGTTTGTTTTTTGCTTGATTTTTTTGGCTCATTCAATTAGGAACTGTGATACGCTTCGTGCTAATCACAAAGTAACAATCAATTGAATATAATTAGTTGATGGTAGAATTGTTTTTATAAAAATACTTCATTCACTTCTCGTAATCAAATAATGTATGACCCAAAATTTTGGTTTATAGAACACCTAAGAAACAAATATAATACCACAAAAAGATCTTTAATCTATCTTGAGAGTCTTACTGTTCATCGTCTACATGTATGTACAATGAAATCGAAATGCGTCGGATATGATGGAAATTACCGTTCCATGACTGATTATTGCTAAGTTATTCGAAATTGAAAACACCGATTAAAGGATGTCCAAGATTGATAGGAAGAAGTGAGATACATTGTAAAAATTCGTGGAATAAGAAACACTGAAAAAGAATTTCTTAGGTTTATAATCGATTTCGTAGAATTTGCCATTCTGCCCTCTTTTAAAGTATGTATCGATTTACAAGAAAGGAACAAACTTCGTCCATTAACTTCCGTGAACAAGTGTTTTCGGCATTGAAAGTAATCGATATTCTACTTTTAAGGCATGAAAATTGCACAAACACACACATACAATTAGTTAATCTAATACGACAAACGTATGAAAAAATGGAAAACCATTTGTAGATATTAATAACAAGTTGTCAAAATTAAAAGATAATGTTTGAACGAAGAAGAAAACAAAGTCAATCAACTAAGATTTGACTTGAAAAACGTTGCATTCAAGCACTCAATTACATTAGCCAGGTCGAATCAATATCATGAATGCTATGAAAGATTTTACGCAAGACTGCACCAGCAATACTAAGACCATTTTTATTCGGTATTCATATCGTCAAGGAATTAATTTCAAGCCGATTGTAAAATTTCTTTAATTTGTTCAACTGTCGATAATGCCACCTCTCAGCTAGATTAAAGTGCTTATCATAGTTGTCTGTAACAACAGCTTAAGCTAATTCACTAACACTGATATCAATCATAGTAAAGATTCGGTGAATACAATACCATTAAGTAAGATGTCTAATCTTAGTACATATGCTAAAACTATTTTTTCACTAACTTTCTCTGAACAAAGTGTCAAACACTATAATGAATATAGAATTTTTCAACAGAAGTTTACAAGATAATATGTTCTCTTTTAGATGGCTGGTGTACAGAGCGAATCTTGAATACAGTTTTACAATCGTTGAAAAGTGGCGGAATAATCTCTTTCAGTGGCCAAAACTGATCTTTCAAGATTGTACGTTCGTTGTAAGGTTCAAGGATGGAATAGGTATGCACTGAATGTTATTGGTTTAATTTATAAAGTACAAATAGCTGACTTCATTTTACAGAACTAAGAGAGATAAGGAACACACATTGAAGAACTTATTTTAACACATTCTATGAATCCAAAATACAATTATTATTGATGTAGCAGACTTCGTAGAGTCTGTGCGTATCAATGAAATTTATGAATCCAGCAGTTAGCAACGTAATCTTGATGATCTACTTTCTTTTTTAATTAAAGACATTATACTAATGGGTAATTTTGACACAATAGTAACGAAATGGAATAGTATGTCAACAGAAAGGAGAAGAACATGCGTGAACCAATCGATGGAAGAGAACAACCAATCCCAATGACATACTATCAACTTTCCATTTATTAAAACTTCCCTTGGTCAATTGTGTTCTCATGTAAGAGTTTCGCTTTCGATACTAATCACCTTTTCCTTCATAGGAATTGAAAGGCATTTGAAGTTGTATTATTTTTATTTTAAACATTTTCGATGGAAGAACAAAAGAAAAGTAGTATAGATGACTGGTACCACCGAAATACTCGTCGTTTGCTGCTGTTAAGAACGTAATGTCATATTGGAAAGAAAAAGGCAGATTATTGGCCTGAGCGATGATAAGAGGTAAGCTTTCACTCATGGATGCCTTTTCTTGTACTTTTTAAACTCGATATGGTACTTCACACAGATATACAGTCGTAGATCTCGGTATATTCTGGTATGTCCATTAGAATACGACCACATTGCAGTATGGATATCAGTGTAATCGATGTGTGTATTTCAACGTATACAACATGGGATCATACAAACGTAATACTGTCCCTACCAAACGGGCGATTTACAGCCTGCATGCGATCGTATTTGGACGTTTATGATCGTTATAATCATGGAACATGGTTCCGTTCTATAGAAAAATAAAGAAAAGTATTTAACACGGGTAAACTGGTTAATGATACTCGTTTTAAGTTTCAATATGATCGTTAGTTGCTATATGACAGTTTTCGTAACTGGAAGTGTATGATAATTACAATGTTATAATGAATATTTGCTAATTGATTTTTTGGTATCTTTTGTTTAAAGACTAAACCAATAACTTGTCTTTTTGCATAATCCCGATTCGAAAATTCGAAATTTCATATAATAAAAGTAACCAGTAGTATTATAAGATAGCTTTCAAGCTTTTCAGCAAAATCCTTATTTTTGAACAATAGCACTAGAAATATGGCTGTCTCTTGATCGATAGGAAAACCTATCTGGACTACAGAATAGTCATATTGAAATTCATATTTTATCCACAGTTCTTTTTAAAATTGTTTTTCTACAGATCCATGACAAATTTAACGACCTTAATGATTCTAAAAGAGCAATATTTAGCCAACTTTTAATTCATATACATTTCTCTATAGAAAACCAGGACTACACGTTACTTACAGTTTTCGTTCTCAGGGATATTTAAATCTATTTGTGTTCTCTATCTTCGAGCGCCGATAAAAACTTTACTCCACAGACGCTTAATTGATATAGTTCGCATTATAATTATTTGCCGTATCAACCATAAAAAGTCTTCAATAGAGAAATTCTTAAACTGTATTGTAAAAAGACTTCTAACATCATATAAATCTTCCTGTTTGTTTCCAAAATTTTCTTGGCCATAACTCTAGATATTAGTTCATTCACACATCAACACATTCCTTCACTTTCGAAATGCGTTGCTATCAAGTACTGCTACCAATACTTTTTGGCTTAATTCTTGTTATGGCGTTAATATTCAACAATTATGAAGAGCACTCTTTTTTCCATATTAAAATTAACCATGGCAATATCTCGATTGAACAAGCTCTTCAAAAACTTCCAACATGTACTCAAGATGACGGACCTCGTCAACGTGCTCTTCTCTATGCTCTTCAACAATGGACTTATTTTGCTCAACAACATAATATTCGATATTGGATTGCATATAAAACACTTGCTAGTTATGTTCAACACCATAGTTTATCACCACATGATCTCGATATTGATCTTTTCATCATGGCACAAGATACATCACAACTTGCTGAACTTTCTCAATTCAATTTTTCATTAATTTATGAACTCAAAGTTCATCCACAATGGTTTATTGTTGGAGAAACAAAACGTTCATATTTTTATTCTGAAGGCATTGATTTTATTGCACCAAATGCACGTTTTATTAATCGAAAAGATGATATTCATCTAGATATTTGGCCTATGTATGATTATCATCCAAATCAAACAAGAATACAGAGAAATAGTAAGCCAATACTAACTGAATATGATAAAAATTATAATTGGGTATCATCACCAAAACAATGGACATTTCCATTACAAGAATGTCTATTTAGTGGAATTAAAGTATGGTGTCCAGCAGAACCAGAAAAACTAGTGGCTAATATTTATGAAGAAATCTCTTTCGAATTAGCATCGACACAATGCATTGATGGTTCTTGGGTAAAACTACATGAACATACATCTGCAGAAACCAAGACAACAATGAACAGCCAGACTATCAGTACTGCACAAATAACAAAGGCGTAAGTTAACTGATATAATAATTGATTTTTTTATGTTATAAGTTTTTCATAAAAGCAAAGCGAGTTAAATACTTTAAGGAACTGCATCGTTGATGTTAATAGTTACTTTAATGTTCTTTCTATTAATTTATTACCTAATTGATTGTCTTTAAATTGTTAATTAGATTTACATTTCTATGAAGAATAACTTTACATTGTCTATTTATGTTTCTGCCAAGTTTCCTTTTTCTTTTTTTTTTAATAGTGAAACGGATAATGAAAACACGTTGATTTATTCGTCCATGGTCAGATTGATGATTTCGAGTTCTGGCTTCGTGGACTTTTCAGCCAGAACTCGCCAATAAGATGTCGTTTCAGGTTGAAAAAATTGCGAAAACGGTTGGAGTTTTGCAGTAGTATTTTGATATTCGTACTTGATGGACGTTTCCCATTGAAAGCAGAAAAATCTGACTATTGCACTCAATCATCGCATTCATGCATCCACTTTCCTACCATTTTTACGTTTTCTTAGGATCGCAGCCGACAGTACATCATTCATCGTGGACATTGTCCTCTCGTTTTTTTTTCATTCGACTCTGAGAAAAAAAAACCATAATAGAAAAAACATACATATACATAAAAATTGAAATACGAAATTAATCTTAATGTAAAAGGAAAACCAAATTCAAGACACAGAAGCAAAAAAAATTCTCTGAACCTTCTTCAAAGAATAAATAAACAGAACTATTCATTTTAACATTAACTTAACTAATAATTAAAAATGTAATCAATTGATTGATTAACAAAACGAGAATTTAACTAGCTAAAAAAGTAATAAAGTCCAGAATAATTGAACGAACAAAATAGAACGCTTACAGTACTGTTATGACAGTAAAAATGACGACATGAGTGAAAAAAGATTGAGACAAATAGATATATTAACGCTAATCAAATCATGGTGATAACGCATTTTCAAACTCTCCTATATAGGCTATTAAGGCATTTTCGATTTCTTAAATATGTAGTGCAAGTTTTTTTATTGACTAAAATAATTTGTTTTCAGTCAGACAACAACTATAACATTAAACGATAATGATCTCATCAAAAAAGCTCTTAAACACATTCCAAAATGTACACCAAACGATCGTTCTCGTCAAAGACGTCTTTTGACTAATCTTCAGGTATGGTCTCATTTAGCAGAACAATATAATCTTCAGTATTGGATAACATATGGAACACTTGTTGGTTATGTTCAACGTCGTGGTTTATTACCACATGATTTAGATGTTGATGTAATAATGATGTCTGATGATACACCACAACTGATTAAACTTTCTCAATCGAATATTTCTTCCGATTATGAAATTAAAGTTCAACCACAATGGTATATTGTGAATGAAACTCATCGTTCTTATTTTCGTGAACAAGGTATACATTTTGTTGCACCTAATGCAAGATTCATTCATCGAAAAACCAGCCAACATGTTGATATATTTCCTGCACATGATTTCAATCCACTTTATG